TGGTGCTGCCCCCCGCCAGCGTTCGGGGCCGAGGTAGGGTCGCAGCCGCAGCGGGTGTCCACGCGTGGAGCGTCTCCCGTGGGTGTCCGACCGTCTGTGGGCACCGGGAATCAGCCGCAAGAAAGACCTAAGCGCAGGGTTGGAAGGTGTGTGTGCGCGCTTCTGCTGTTGCCCAGCTCAAGGCAGGGCCCTTGATCTCTTGGGGCTTCGCTTTTTCTACCTGCAAATTACAGGAATAAGGGCAGTGGCTTTGCAGGGGTGCTGTGAGGGCGGCTTGATCTTTGCAAAGTGTTATGTAAGGGTTATTTGGTGCCTGTACTTTGTTTCTGCTATTAAAAATACAGGGTTGCCTTCAGCCTTCGTCTGTCTTTAGCCCTTCGGCAGTCATGGTGATCATCTCCAACTCTGTATGCAGGTAGTTATTTTGCTGTGATTGCAAGTAAGTGAGCACCGTTCCAGGTTCTGGTTTTAGCCATGGAAGTAAATACAAATCTACTCACTGCAGTCAGGTGAACCTTCTTTTCTGATACATTGAGAATTATGGTGCTATAAACTCCCATGCTCTGAGCGTTGCGTTAGTCTGCCTCTCCCTCAAAGTGTGATTGACAGCTTGCATTAACATTTCATGAGCGTAACAAAAAGTTGTTGAAACTTGCGAGTTTTAATGCTTACTACTTTGGTCTGCTGTAGATTTGAACAGTGTAAAGACTGTTCTCTTGTCAGCAAATCTTGGAAGAGGGGCCCAGAGTACACATTCCTTCCTTCATGCTGCTCTTTAAGTTCTCTGTGTGTGAATAGGAACCCTTTCTTTCCTAGGCTTTCTTTGCTCCTTCCTGGGGCATTCAGTATGTGACAGGGCAGTGTTTGTGTTTACGGCGAAGTGTGTTGCAGCTGATAGGGAATGGCTAGCTAAAAAGAGTCGTTTTCTGTTTGTGCACAAATACCTTTGCTTGAACAAGAGATAGGAAAGGAATCTTAAGGAAACTGATCCCTGGGTGAATTTTAAAAGGTTTAATGCTACCAGGAGTTTGGTATTTAAAGGGGAGTTGGAGATCTATCGCAAACTGTTACAGCTTGTTTTTCATCCGAAAAGTACAAAAAAGGATATTTTGAAAAGGGACAGCATCTCCCACTTGACCTACTTAGGTTTTGTGTGCAGGCGAACAGCCTGCCATCCTGCCCTTTTCTCCCATTCAGACTCTTTAAACTATTGCTCTCAGCCAGGCACTTGCAAACAGCTTGACAAGAGCGAGGAAGCGGGCCAGGGCAGTACAGAAATGCAGTAAATATCATGTGACCAAAGAACTACACTGTGTAAAATTGCTGTGGGAAGGGTGAAGTATTGAGAAATGGTTGTTTCTCCATCAGGCGTGTTTTAATCCTCCCACCCCAAATCCTATTCAGACAAGCTCCTTATCAAATGAATCCAGTTCGGATCCCAAGAGCGATGTTAGCTTTCCTGATACTAAACGTATCCTGGAAGCTACTCGCATGGATCTGCCAGAAAAAACCTCTAAGGGAAAGCAGTGTTCACAGCCTCATGCGGTACCCTAGCCCTGTGGCTGCCCAGCAAAACCTCCATGTATACCTTAGCGGAAACTCCCCCAGCGCAGGAAATCAGATGGCCCTTGGCTGCCTCTCGCCTTCCTCGCGTGAGGCAGTGGTGGCAAATGCAGTATGAAATACTGTGTCCTTTCTCAGCTCCGCAGGAAATGCTTCTGTGTCCTGTAAGTGCATTTTACCCATTTAAAACCAGTATACCGTGTCCTTTGCATATGGTATTTGCTTCCCTATGTACCCTGTAATTCATGGGCTTTGTAAAACAGCGCCAGCGCTTGTCTAATGCTGGCTAACCTGCACGTGTATTGCATGTTTGTTTTTGTTGAGAGAGAAGTGGATGTGTCTGTGAAAAGTGTAACTGATATAGATACATCCTTTCTTATGACTGTTGCTTTAAGTGGAAGTTTTCAGGCTGCTATATATATGGGATGGCTATTTCCAGAAGTCGGTAAGAACCTGAAGTCCTGGTCTTAGGAAATGGTTGACACCTGAGGGCAGCTGAGTCAGCCTTTTCTGCCGAGCAAACGGTTGCAAAACGGCTTTGCCCAGCATTCATGGTCCTGCACAGAGCGGTGATTCTGTTGACAGGTATGGGAGCCGAGGGCAGGTAATCCACTCGAACACAGGCGGTGGTTTCTGTGGCGTGCTGGCACTCCTGTGTCAGCAGAGGGACAACGGTGTACGTCCTAAGGGGGTCTCCTAGGGTGGAGACTAGCAGGGCCGCTAGAGAGCAGCTGCAGGCAGCAAGGTACCCTTTGATGCTTAGTTTGTGGAGATCCTGAATAGCAGCTGGTGGATCACCTACGTGGGTCACCTATAGTCTGTCATGGCAGGGCATGTGCTGAGTCTCTTGTGTCCTCTCCGTTTCTGTATGTGCGACTGCAGACATCGCAGTAAATGGGTTTTTTGCACCTCTGGTCTGAGTTGCTGCATGCTTTCCCCCTATGTGCTGGCATTACCTGTTAGCTTGCTGCTTTGTGGTCTTCTTACAGATTTTGATTCTAAGAAGAAAAGAAAAGTGGCAGAAATTTATCAGGCTCTGAACAGTGATCCCATTGATGTGGCTGCACTCAGGCGGATGGCGATCAGTGAAGGGGGGCTCTTGACGGATGAGATTCGTTGCAAAGTGTGGCCAAAGCTGCTAAGTGTTAATACAGACGACCTGCCTCCTCTTCCAGGTATGGAACGGTCTAGACTTGGATACTTGTGGAAGAACAGCTCAGTGATCTCTTTACATGCTTGAGGAAGAATCCCAGCGTTGAACTGTGCTCTTTTTGGTTTGCCTTTTCTTTGTGTACGCTGTGCTTTTCCCACCAAGCTTATGTGGGAAGGAGACTTGTGAATGAATGCCATAACTTCACGTGCTCTTTTTTTTTCATGACATAAATGACAGATTAGGAAATGCATGACTACCTAAAAACAACGTTTCCATTATGCTGTAAGAGCATTATTATCTTTAGTGACACTGGTGGCAATAAGTTTGCTTTGGATGTGGTTGGTATGGCCCTTGTGCAATTATTTGGCACGTATAAGTTAGTAAGTAACAAAAAGTAGGAAACTTCATTTTTGTTGTTCCTGTGGTGAGGTGGCTTTGCTGAAGCCTGGCTTTGCTGAAATACTTCTGGAGATGTCTCTTCTAGGCATGGATGAAGCAGTTTGTTGCATGAAGTTTGTGTGCTGTTTCATCAGAACAGAAGCAGGAACAATGACCTTCCTGATGAGATATGTGCGTGATTTTTAAACCTTACCAATGCAGGAGCTCCAAGTCTTGTAGCTTTTACAATCACTGTTCCCACAGTGAAAGATTTTGTTGATGTTCCTGAATCTAAGTGGCCATTCAGAAGCGTGCATCCGCCCATGTCAGTCAAGAGCTGGATTGTGTTAGCTGATCAGAGCTGCTGGAAGATGACATTCAATTTCACATGACAGCATGGGTAGTTTAGTGCGCCAGCAAATTCTTTTCTATTCTGTTCTAACTAACTGCCTTAGCTACCCGCTTTTTTGGTTTGTTTCTGAATTATTTCTATTTAGTAAACTGTTCTTCATGGTTTCTACAGCATGTTGTGCCTTGCTGCTGCTGAATTTCATAGCAAAAATGTGGAGCAAGGATGTTCCCAGGAACACTGAGAGTGGTGTCAGCTTAAGCCTTTTAAAACATGTTGTTTAAAGACATAATAGTATTTTTTTGTCATGCTGAAGTGTCATTAGTGTCAGAAAGCACAGCAGTAAAAGTGAGAGCATGGGGCTTGTGTGTGACACATGAAAAATTAGATATATGATTGGGGTAGTGTGTCTTTGTATTGGGGTGGATTTCAACCTCTTTCTTTCTTTTTGACTTGAGCAGGGTTTTTCCTGGCTCTCTCACCCAGCTTTCTCTCTGGTACCTTTGCAGTATTCAGGGTTAGTGATATTCCTCTTTTTTTCACTAGGAAAGGAACTGCGAGAGAACAATAAAGATTACCAGCAAGTATTACTGGATGTGCGGCGATCCCTGCGCCGTTTCCCACCAGGTGAGAGAGGATTGCTCTCCCCTTGCCGCCCTGCATGAGGGAAGATCTGTGTGTATGGGGTGCTTCCTGACTCAAACCTTCATGCAGGTTTTTCTCCTCTGGGGGTGGCGTTAAATCAGCAGGTGTGATACTCTGTTGCTACAGGAGGCTGTCTTCCGGAAAGCCTTTTCCTGCGAGTTTGCAGCAACGTTCTTGTGAAGCGGAGCTTTTCTGCAGCTATCAGCTTCCTTCAGCTCCTGCCTGTGCTGTAGCTGTTGTGTTGTGGCTCTTCTAACATTACATGCCCCTCTTCCTTGCCGAGTCCCTCTGCCAGCAGGCTAGTACCATTGAACGCTCACAGGACTGAGAGGCTTGGATCCAGCGTAGCCCACTGTCCCTAAGGGTCAAGCTGAGGACGAAGCTAAGCCAGAGCGTTTGAGGAATTTACCGTTTTATTTATTTTAGACTGCAGTCTAGCTCAGGGGTGTGGAAGGCAGGTTCATGAATGGTTAGGACAAATTTTGTCTTTAAATGGTCTCAAAATCAATTTCCTCTCAATGATTCATGCACCACATTTAAAAGAACTCCTAATACTTAGAAACAAAAGCTTTTTGCAGTTGTTTAGTTATTGCGGGTGGCTGGTGCTTTACTGTGCTATTTTTAAAACATTTAAGGCAGCAGTTACCTAACTCTGCAGAGTAGTCATTATTTCTGGCTAGAGCCTGCTTCCCCTTTCTGCTTCTTTTATTTCACATAAACAGTTGATCCATTCTGATTCTCTTTCAAGTAAGGATATTGCATGCAAGTCTGATTCGTGAAGGGTCCTCTAACACTTGCTTTCTGCCCTTGAATGGCAGCCTCCTGCCTATTTTTAGAAGCATTAGTGAAGAAGGGAAAAGGGAGAACTTTGCCATTGCAGGGTCTCGGCTGGGACTTGGCCTTTACGCGTTTTATCTGTTGACAAGGGCACTGCCAAAAAATGGCTACAGTTGTGCATGGGAGAAATAACTCTTTTCTTGCAACATCCTGTCCCTAAATGCATGTTGTTAACAGAGGACCGGTATAAAGGTGTGCTGACAGGGCCTCACAGCTTGATGCAGTTGGCACAATTTCTGTGAAAATAGGTCCTCTTTAATTTTTTCTAGAACCTCCGGGAAATTAGAAATGACTGAAGTGTCCTCAGCAGTGCTGGGTGTACAGTGCAATTCACTCTTCACAGCACCGTACAAACGTCAGTAAGCCCTACTCTCATCCTTCATGGTGACTTCCTTATAGAAAGGGGCGCTGCAGCTCCAGAGATTAACAACCTGACGACTTGCCAGCTTTCCCTGGGCCGACAGAGTGTTTGGGGTCAGGATTAGGACTCTGAATTTTTTTTCTGCTAGCTTTACATCCAGCCCCTCGCCCCACATCCCTCGTGATCGGCCTAGTTGATAAATGGGTGGGTGCTGAGGCTGTGGCTGCCTCTGCCTCATACAGCCCTCTCTTCGAATGCTGTAGCCACCTTCGCTGTTGCGGTAGGTGGCTGGTCAGGGCCCTGTGATGCAGCCCATCACAGCATCGCATGGTGCTGTCCCCACAGGGATGCCGGATGACCAAAGAGAAGGGTTGCAGGAGGAGCTCATCGATATTATCCTCCACGTTCTCAAGCGTAACCCCCAGCTGCACTACTACCAGGGCTACCATGACATCGTGGTCACCTTCCTCCTGGTGGTAGGCGACAGACTTGCTACAGCTCTAGTGGAAAAGCTCTCGACACATCATCTCAGGTACTTCACCAAGCTCTGCCTGAGGAGAGGACCTGCTTGCGTGTCCTCGTGCTGTGGAGATGCCTGTGCTTGGGGGAGAGTCTGGGCAGATGGGAATGGCCTGTCCCGGTGAGAGGCAGGGGAGCCTAGAAAGCAGAGCCTTGGGCGAAGGCCGACTGCCTGTCATGTCTGTGCCCAGAGGGATGCTGTTAGGGAGCAGTGTGACCACATGATAGGAAAGGGCATTGCAGGGAGTTGTGCTCCAGGGAAGGGATAATTGAGGGCCAGTTCATCAAATGTCAGTTTAATTTGTAGCTTCTCTTGATGCTGAAAAAGCCAACACATATATTATTAATAATTCTCTGGTTGTCTCTTCTGTCAGTGCTTCTCTGGCTCCCGTGGGCTGGCTCAACACGGTGCCTCCCACTCTTCCCTATAAAGCCCTGGGCAGTTTTGCACTGAAAGTGTGGTCTGTAAAGCCAGTGTCCTGAGCCCCAGGGTGAGTTAATCTCTTATTTGTGCCCTGAAATGAGAACAAGCTTTCAGCCAGGGAGCGGTTTGGAGGGGTTCTCCCTGTTTTCCCGGACGGCAGGTTAGATTGCAGGTGCTGCAAAGGTATTATTAGGGTTTGTGCATGCATTGCAGCAAAACAGGAAGCGGTGTCAATTAACATTGGCATGAGTGTCTGGGCCCAGCTTTTCTGAGTGGCTCACTCTGTTATCTCCTCCAACAGGTGGGAAGGGGCTGTCCAGAAGGGCCGGAATCCCTTGGGAGCAGGGGCCACCCTAGCAGCAAAGCAGTTTATTGCACATATGTTTACCCTCTGATTGCCTCCTTGGAGGAGGGCATAGCTCAGTGACATGGTCGCTTGACAGAGCTTTTGTTTAATCTTTCCTCAGGGATTTCATGGACCCAACGATGGATAATACCAAGCACATTTTAAATTACCTGATGCCCATCATAGACCAGGTGAACCCTGAGGTGCATGACTTCATGCAGAGGTATGCAGATGTTCCCTTGGAGCCTCGTAGATCTGCCCTGTCAGTCTCATGTTACTGTTCATGGTGGCATTTACATAAGCTGGTTTCACTAGGGAGCATGTTCACAGCACCACAGTGGCTTCCTCAGAATAGCTTACTCGCAGCTAATGGTGACAGTCCAAAGCCTTGTGGCACTTGGCTTCCGAGCAGACTCCAAACCTGTGCTGCCTTGTCTTGAGGGGTTTTAAAAGGTGGCATTTTCACTCTAGCTGTGTGCGGTCAGATGAGCAGTACACGTATTTTGTCTTGAATTTGTCATCTTTGCATCAGGGGTATGGTCCCTGGTGCTGGATTGAGCTCTGAATGCTATGTTGATTGTTGTATCTCCCCTTCCAGGAATGGAGGCTGTTGGAAAAACCATGTGCTGGACAGGGATCACCAAGGAGTATTTTAGCACTCTTTCAAAGCTGCCTGCAGCTGTTGACCTAACTGAGCACTTTCTCTTTGTGCAGTGCGGAAGTGGGAACTATCTTTGCGCTCAGCTGGCTGATCACATGGTTTGGGCATGTTTTGTCTGACTTCAGACACGTCGTGCGATTATATGACTTCTTTTTGGCCTGCCATCCACTGATGCCCATTTACTTTGCCGCTGTGGTAGGTATTGGCCAGGGTGATTATGGGGAATGAACTGAACCAATGCAAAGTACTGGTAGTTTGGGGCTGTTGAGAGGGGCTGGCAAATATAGTGCTGTTGCTGTCCCTTGCTGCACCCTGCTCTGCGGGGACCCTCGTGAGGTCAGTGATGTCCATCATGGTGGCAGAGGGCAGATAGGATCCGGGAGAGCTCGGAGTGCCCTGGAGCATCCGGTTCTGCAGGCTGCTCGAGTTCAGTGCTGCGGAGGCAGCATGGCCAGGAATTTTTCTTTGCAGTCATGCGCTGGCCCTGCTGCAGAGCGCTTGCTTGGATGCTGTTTGCAGCTGGAGGAGCCAGTCTGGCTGAGGGGGAGCTCTGTACTGTACATGCATCTGCCCTCTCTGAGCAGGGTCCAAACAAATCTCTGTCCATCCAAACAAATCTGTGTTCAAAGGGAAGTTGAGGAGTCTAGTCCTGCTGAGGTTCTGCCTGTGTCTCAGGTCCACCAGTACCAGGGTCTTCTCAGAAGACATAACTACCCAGAAGGGGCTTTCCATGGCTTCAGAGCTCTAGGAAGGATTTAAGCGTTTCCTTTCCCAGAGGAGAAGTGCTTCATTGCAGTGTGTCTCCTTGAAGAAGTGCAGGCCTTTCAGATGGCGAGTGAAATGTTTTCCTCTTTCAGCTCTGAAGTTAGCAACAGTGAGTGACAAGGAGTGTATCTACTCTTCCCCAGCTGTTCTCAGTGCTCTCGCTCCTCTCTCTAGATTGTGCTGTATCGGGAGCAGGAAGTTCTGGACTGCGAGTGCGACATGGCCTCTGTCCACCACCTCCTGTCCCAGATCCCACAGGACCTTCCTTACGAGACTCTGATCAGCAGAGCTGGGGACCTTTTTGTCCAGTTTCCGCCATCTGAACTTGCCAGGGAGGCAGCTCAGCAGCAGGCTGAACGGTGAGTGCAGGACAGTACCTCTGCCCCTGGCATAGTGCCTATGTATTCTGTACATCCCTGCCTTGGCCGCGCCTCGCTTCCTCAAGAAGAATTTCCTGCCCAGCAGCAAGTTGGTCCCAAAGGCACCTCTGAGGTTCTTCTTGACCCATTTCTTCTCTTGCAGAACTGCCGCTTCCACTTTTAAAGACTTTGAGTTGGCGTCAGTGCAGCAGAGACCAGACACTGTGTTGAGACAACGCTTCAGGGAGCGACTCCAAGGGGAAGAGCGGACAGAATCCATCTGGACAAAGCCAAGGACCAACCGTTTTGTCAAGCTAGCGGTTATGGGGCTAACGGTCGCGCTGGGAGCAGCTGCCCTGGCCGTGGTGAAGAGCGCGTTGGAATGGGCGCCCAAGTTTGAACTGCAGATTTTCCCCTGAAGCCAGAGGAAGGGCTTTCCCTGTCACCAAGTCCCACATCCTTCCCTGGCGGGAATGGATGATATTTGATGAAAGGACGAGTTTGGAAATGACCTGTCTGAAGAGTTTTCTGTTCTTGCTGCGTCCCATGATGCTTTTGGCCTTTGCGACAGAGACTGATGGGAACCAGCTCAGCAGGATCGTTCCCCGTACCAACACGCACCTCGTTCATGCCTCCCTGTGCAGGAGGGAGCACAGATGGGCTCCGCTGCTGTGTCGTGAGGAATTGGAGGTATGGACAAGTCTGGCTCATCAGGCCGCACAGCGGATGACTGTGCGAATGGAGAGCTGTGTGTGGGTTGTGCCGAAACGATCTTGCGTTCTCTGTTGGGGCTAATTAGTGGGAG